CCTCTCTAGCGGTGATCCATACAGTAGAGCTGCGACGACACTTCTAAAAACTCCAGGCCTGCTCTGAGGTGGAGAGGGGGAGGAGAATAGGAGAGGCAAGCAAAGGCTCTAGCCTATGAACCATAGAATCCCTCATATTTATAGAGGTCCCTTGTCAAACCCTAATGGATCCTCCCTTATTAGGTATTGGATCTGCATCCAACTACCCAAGCCTCTTAGATTAGTCGATCTCTATCCAATAATCTCTCATTGGCTCTTATTTGATCTTATCCATATGATCCAATAATTCAGGGGCTTATTGGATATCCAATAAGACAAGGGGTCCGACGGATATCTCATATCCGAACCTCTACTCATCGCAATGTCTACCATATGTGTATGACGCTCTAGGCCCAATATCGAGCTGGCCATGAGTCATACCTATCAGAACTTATTTTGGCTTAGTGAATTATTATCTCCATAATAATTCACTCGACTCATCGACTACGTACGTACTAGGCCACTACGCTATAGTCCCCAAACGATACAGGGGAATCCAATACATTGGACCTGTCTGTCCTTAGTTACCATGTACCTATAGTCCCTCATCCATCTAATATCCCAAAGACCATATACCGGGCATGGTGCTGTCAGACCTAAATAGTTTCTACTTGAGTCTCGCTTTAATCAAATTCTCTTGGAGAACTCTTTCTCTCTCAATCCAAATGACCCTGGCCAGGGATTTGTCTGAGCAAGAACACATGGGATATTTCTCTCATGACACCGAGAGTGGATGATCCTCTATCGACACTCAATAGTCATCGTAAGATCGATTGTCACTCCCAATGACCGGTTGTACTAAATCTGGGACATCCAAACCTATAAGTCTAGTATCAAAGAATGAAGCACTCATACAGGATATCCTTGGTATCTCAAGTCTAAGGACCAGGTACACCATTGGGACTACGAAATTGCTGTCTGACAATAAGGCATCATCAACCATCCAGCATTCCGTAAGCGGATCAATAAGTGAACTCATTCTCCAATGAGCACCTGTACTATATCCCTAGTGTCCTCACACGACCAGTTATGAGACCAGTTGTATCCATCATATGGATAGGTATGCAGTACACCAGTCTGTCCAGTTATCTCGATGTCCCTCTCGAGTAACCTATGACCGGGATTATTTAGGATCTGTGTTTCAAGGCAAATCGGTCTCATTATCGTGACCTCATCACGATCTAATTTCCATTGCACAGATCCAAGGACATCATAATATATACATGCATATATACAATAATCAATACAAAATGATAAATACCAAAATATAATAAGCAAAAAGGTTTTGTATTAAGTCACACGTGCCATTACTCACATGATTGGCTTGCTGGGCACCTATGACTAGCATCAATCACAAGAAGTCTCTTTTTTTTACAACGATGCTCACCCAACATAACCCCTTCGAAAATCACTCTTTAAGCTCTTCTATTGTCAACCTTTTTGGTGCAGGGGCTTGGTTGATAGTAGGGGGGCTGAGGGCTTCGGTATTACTGGTCGGGGAGCGACCCTAGTCCTCCAGGCTTCATGGTTCAATCGCTCCTCTTGAAGTCATGTGAAAGAGATGGCTGCCATAAGCATGTATGGTTGTCATGCTTTAACATCTCCCCGGATCTATGGTTTCAAGCCCTCAATGAAGGTCCTTAGTAGCTATTTTTTAGACCAATCATGAGTTTGATTAGATAACTTTTCAACCTGGTTTGGTACTACTGAATGGTGGAGGTTTGTCGGATCTTTGCTAGTTGTCCATCAATCTTCTTGTAACCAATTGGTCCGAAGCGGATCAACAGTCTTTTGAATTGTCGCCATGAGAGGACTTCATGAGTATGTTCAAACTAGTCAAACCATTATATGACATCCCCTTCAAGATGTATAGCTGCAATTTCCACCATAGATGCGTCAGTGGTTTTGTGGTACCGAAAATATCGTTCCGCGCGCGAGATCTAACCAATTGGGTCTCTTTCCCATCTAGGGTAGTCCACCCTCATGCGTGGATAGTAGAGATCGATCATAGATCCTCCCCTCTCTTAGAAGTCATCTATTCGGGCCTGGTATAATTGGTCAGAGCTATCTCCTTGATATGATTTCTTCAGCATTGATTACCTCCTCAGATGCCATAGTATATGCCTCCAAATCTGTAATATTAAGATCTCTCTTTTATTATCGGGTTAAAGGCATATATTGGTTGAGAGAAGTGGTGGTCGAAAAGGTTGGTAGATTGGTGGATGTAGGTTGTAGTTTTAGGCTTGTTTTGTGACTATTTTGGGTGTGTTTGAGGGTGTGGTTTAGTAGCGTTTTAGGGCTATGATAGTAGTTGATGAGGGTTAGGAAAACAAAGTTTTAGATATGTGGTACATGGCAACAAAGGTTTGATAGAAATCGATAGAAGTTGATGCAGATAGGTGTTGTCTTGTAAGAGCAGAATTATCATTGAAGAAATAGTGATTTCTCGATGAAATTTCTAGCAAAAATTGAGAGATTTGAGGAGAGAATTTGATAGCAAAATCTTAATTTATATAACAGCAATGATGACCAATTTAATTAAGAAAATTTCGACAGTATAACTGCAAGGAAATTGATGCAAATTGCGGTAGCAGAATTCTCGTCAAAAAATTTCAACGATTTACGACAAAAATTTACAGTAACACAAGAACGTTTTTAGAGATGAATTCCTCGATAGATCAATCTTAAATGGAAGCCAAGATGATCTATAAAGTGTATAAGAAATTTCGTTTAAAAAAGATAGCAAATAGATCGGTTAAAGACAATAATATGCGGTTGAAATTTTCCACAGCAATCCTTCGTTCGCAAAGATGATAACTTTTATGACGAAAGGAGTTCACAGCACGAGATAAATAAAAATACTTCTTCTTGGTATTTTGAATGAAAAATTACAGCAATAAAAGGATTGGTGATAGGAGAATACCAAATCTCTAATGCAATTGGAGGTGACTCCAGTAGATTGAGTAGATCTACGATAGAAGATGACGGTGGAGATGACGGCATCAAGAGCAATTATGAGAATTGCTTGGTTGGAGGTGGGTGGTAGGGATGACAACAAAAGCAGCAAGATCACTGCTTTGATATCAGATGATAGAACCCTAGAGGAATTCTATGTAGATTGATCTTTGAGGGAGATCACTCCTTGGAACGCTATAGGGGTTCTACCCTCCTAGAAGTCGATCAAATGGCTATAATTATAGATAAATCTTATTATGAAAGAGATGGAAGCTACATGCTTATATAGGGCTTCAAACCCTAGCCCCAGAGGTTGTTTCCTAAGTTACCTCATTTGCCCTCAACTCTAACCAACCAGCCTAGTAAAAGACGACAGCAACTAGGAAGTTCAAATATCCAAATATAAACCCTAGCTATTTTTTTTTATAGGATAGAAGTGGCGATGTATGATTTATTATAATTTCATAGTATTTTATTAGTTGCTTCTTGATTGAATATCAAGAATAGGGATGGGTTTGGTAGCTTATTTGTCGGTGGCATCGCAAAGCCTAATTGATTTTACCACCCAGGCAATGTACTACCACCTAGCATACGGTCAGAGCAATGCCAAATTAGTGTTTCGATGGTCATGTCATCTAAAGATAAGTTAGTACCACCTATATCCCTATTTTTCAGTATTCTTTTCTTAATTTACTTCACGTTTTGGCATGTTTGTTGAATATATAAATACCTCGTGATTTACTCCATGTTGTTTTACACAACAGAGGTCCTTCTGGTAGACTAATAATAATAAGTCCTTCCACGGGTTTAAATAGATGAGGAAAGAAAATATGATCGATTATTTATAATCGTTAATTTCCAACTGCTTCTTGTTAGAATGATCGAGTTGATTATAACAACCACCGAGGTGGTCGATGATGTGATACAATCATCCTTAGGGTGATGATTTTGATGACCAAAATGATATAGTAGTAATTTAGGTGCTCGATTACATGACCATTAAATAGGGATTATCTTGACTTAATTTGAATTAAAATTAAATCGGTTCCAAGTGGAAACGAAACATAACGGGATGATTTTGTATAGAAACGAAGATCCAATTATGATTCTAAAACATAAATTGAAACTAAAACCGACGGTTCTAAATTAACTAAATATAAAATAAAAATAAAAGTAAAATATAAATAGGTTCTGTGGTGTAGCTGTTAGTACTTTAAACTTATAGCATAATAACTTATGTTTGAATCTTTGTAGAGTAATTTATTTTTTTTATTAATCAAATTGAAATCGAAACGATTTGGTTTCAATTTTAAATTTAATAAAATCGAAATAAGTGATCATGAAACTCTAGTAGTCAAGATAGTAGAAACGGAGATGACCCGATCGTGACAATTTCGACTACAGATAGGATGATCAATGACATAACACAATCACCCCATTGCTAAGGTGGCATGATGATCGATGACATGGCATAATCATTCTTGTATAATGGTTTTCGTTACACGTGACATGACAATCGCTGACATGGCCTATCCGATGTGGCAAATTTCATCTTTTGGGTAGTGTTGATGTCCATGTTATCATTTGAGCTGGTGTACATGTGTCAAATTATGAAAGGACAATTTTGCCCCTATCAATTGTTTCATTTGCTTACACTTTGCTTAAACTTCTACCACCCTTCTTGCTGGTGCTTGATTTATTGACTCTCTGATCCAGAGGTTGTTCACAAACCTGTATCTACTTATGTATTTTATCTCCAGAAGATAAAAAAGGGAAATGAATTATAAGCTTGCAAACAAAGCCCTAATCATGCTTTTGATGCATGACAAAAAATGTAAACCTATGTGTTAATTTACGTAATTTAGATGCCTATGGTTGATCAGAGAGAAATTATAATAGTGCTATAATTTCAACAGCTGATGCACCAATCTTGCCGATAACTGGAATTCGAAACAGAGCAATTTCTCATGGAAAAGATAAATAGTAATCTTGTTTCCTGCTGCATGTGATTTCTTAACCAAATGCATGTACCTTAGTTCTGATGAGTCACTTGACAACTGATATTAAGTTGATGCATGAACAATCTCACAAGGAAGTGGATCTTTGAAGCTTGCAGAATGTAAAGGGAAAATTGGTTTGCAAACCAATTTTCCCCATGTTATTGATTAAAAGAATGAGCATTTGAAAGTTGATGGAATCAGAATTGAGGTGGTTACATCTCCCATTCAAGGCTCCAGGAATAGGATCCTACATCTTGCTTGTCATTTTGAAACTAAGCTGTTCTTTGGTTTCATATCTTCCCCACCTTCACCGAGTACTGTGCTGCCAATTCTAGTTGGTGGCCAGTATCGGAACACTGATCTGCCAAGTATGTTCTTTGCAGGAAGTGGACCCCTGAAGGATAGCTTGTCAGACAGAAGGTATCCCAGATTGAAATATTCTGATATTAAATTGAAGGGCTAAATTAATGGCTTATCTGTTAATGAAAAAAGATTACCATATGTGCGAATCATAACTGTTATTGCGATTGTCGCCCATGACAAATACAGTGTTTTCAGGCACTTGCTGCGGCAGAATGACACAATGGATGTTAAAGAAGCACATTTCTATTTTGAAGAAATTATGTTGAAAAAACAGTTGGAAACGCATTATTAAACAAAATATCATGCTTACCTGACAGGCAGAAATCTTGCTATTACCAAAAAATGCAAAAGCAAACATGTGAAGCAAGCAGAACAACTTTCACTGAATGTACAAGTTTTTTTCTTTGAAACCACAATAAAGAATGTCCCCAAGTTCAACAAGAGCAGTGATATAATTATTCCTTGATAAAGTCTGCTAATGCTCATAGCATGTCTGCTTTTCAATTTTTGTTGGACAGTAGACTTCAAGGATAATTTTGCAGTTAAAAAAAAAAAATCATGCTGCAGTATTTCTTTGCAATCTTGAAGATATATTTTACCACATATTTCTCTCATTAATTACCAAAAGCTAAAAATGAAATGATGAAATCCTTACAATTGGGCTCATCTCATAAGACGGTGACTCAAGAATGAAATCTTCGTCTTTCACTATGCCATTTACTACTAATTTGCCATTGTGAACCTGCAAAGCGAGTGAAAATCATCAGCAATTCTTTCTGCACAAATAAAAATTACGTGCTACCAAAAGCTAACAATTGGAATGCTGATGATTTGTCTTCACTCATTTATCGAATAAAAAGGAAAAATCACATACAGGAAGTAACATAAATGGGTATAAATCTAAGCAGCAGTATTGTTCCAGTTAATACAGCGAATTGCTACTCAAATCTTTATCACAAGCAGCTTTTTCATTATTCTTTAATTCAGAAATGGATATATAGATAATGTTCAAAACATGATGGCCTATTTGCAGTAGGTAGCTGTTTATTAATACTTAAGAGTATCTCCAACATTTGTCAACAAAGAGGATATAGGCATTGCTTTTTTTCATAACTCTACATGTTCCACACAGTTAAGTGAGGCAGGGAGAACAGACATCAGAACAAGGCCGAGTACAAACACATTCAGTATTTCAGAGTACTTTCTTGATTTGGTCATTTGGATGCAGCTACCAGATGCTTAAATTCAAATTCTCTAGTTACCCAAGAATTAACCTTGGCAAGATCACTCCTTATTGGCACTTAGCTTTCAATTGACAAACAAGGTTTCCATTAGCATATATAATCTGCAAGACATTCTTATTTACACTGTAGCTATACCCCCCTTAAAATCTGATCAGGTCAACATCCCAGGTTCATGGTATTTGTGTCCTGTACCGTGGAAATACATGATCCAGTTTATCACAATTTGAGATGGTTCACATTTATAGCTGCAAATCAAGTAATACAAAAACAATCTGAATAATAAATCCCTACTCTAAATCCACTCAAGAAGAACTAAAAACAATGAAGCACTCAACAAGAAAATACAACATAAGAGTTTAAATCATTTATCTACAAACGTTGTCTTGTGAACCAACTAGCCCTAGACTTCATGTGCCATGGACCAATGCAAGTGCATACATCATCGCACACACATAACATAATCCAAAATGTTGTGTTGCAGATACCTATAATTCTTATAATGCACAAAAGCATTCAAAGCTGGACTAATTTCTCCATACTAATCTGCTACAACCTATGTTTCTTTGTTAGTTAACCAAGTTACGTCAATGAGCTGGATCAACCTTGCCTGGTAGCACTATTCTCAGTTCAGAATAATCAAAGTTAAGATAGGAATAACCTGAACCAATGAACTAAAGGCAGGTGACAACCCACCAAATTAAACTAAATAAAATCTTCCAAGTGAAAAGATACAATTTGGAAACTTTAGAATGCATGGTAAGTTGGTATCCAAATATGCAGGCACTTAAGTGGTTTACCTTATCATCGTAGAACATATAAAGATCATGTAACCATTATTAGGACTTCTACATTTGAAATATGTGGCGTCTGATTCCTGGTAAGAACTCCAGAATGGGATGCCATTTCACTTATAATATTTTATAAAGTAAATATGTCATGTCTAGGAGATCATATCAATATCTCATTCTCAACCCATTACAACAATAAGAAATGAAGTGAACATCCATACAACATCATAACATAATATAGATAGTCACACTACATCTTCTTATCCAAACACAAAAGAATTAGAATAATATTACAATACAATTATCACTGTAAAAGTTTTGTCAATCGAGCAAAGCATAATTAAGTTACTCACTTCTACAACATCACCCTCCTTGGCAACAACTCTTTTGATAAATACATCATCATCGGTATATCCCACTTCCTGCACGTATCATTCCAGAAAGCGGAGAGGATTGTAGAAAAATTTGCATACAATGAATCTTGGTCTTTGAAGGTACTTTAGTTACCTGCAAAACTGGTGGGCTTTTGAAGATGACTATGTCATTTACACATGGTTTTCTGAAGTAATACGAAACCTAATGAAAGAAGAAATACAATTAGATGCAGCAATTTCAGGTGCACAAATCACATCTTCACCTGGTAAGCATTCATAATTTTGAATTGATGAAAACATTATCCGAGAAAGCAGAAAATTAATGGGAAAAAATATGACTGAGTTACACCAATGTGACTTTTTATAGAAAGATGAAAGGGGTAACCAACATAAAAAATCACTACGAGCTGAAGTTATCACTCCGATGGGTTAAGCTTTAGCATTTACTAGCCATTAGTTTGTACTAGATTTTCTACAGATGAGACAATTTCCAGAATTTAACATATATGCTTTACAGCTTACAAGTAATATGTATATTACAAAGCATGCCAATTTTGAGTCATTTTTGGGCAAGCAAATTCCATGATCATGCACAGTAAAATTTTTCCGAACTCAAGTTCTTGGGGTTAAACAAGCCCAAGCGCCTAGTTGCACTAAATTTTTTTCCGGCGGTTTATGACACCAACAGGGATGGTACAGGTTAGAAGTGGCAAAAACCAACCTTCCAACCAACTCAAAGCGATCTTAGTTTGGGGTCCTAACCCCAAATCATGCACGCAGCTTGGGGTAATCATTTTGTATGCAGCAACAGCATCAAGAACTTGAATCCGATATTTTTTTCTTCAATACTTTAGCAACCAAGCCAACAATCAAATCTGTTCCCGTAAGAATAACACAATAAAAATCAAATTTCGTTCCCCCTTCTAAGAACTTCAACAGAACTGATGATAAAAATTGAACTTTGACTACTAATTGGATAAAGATCATCAGATTAAAAGCAAAGGAGGGTACCTTCTCGGCGACAACGCGGTCACCGATATCAAACGTTGGGTACATCGAAAGAGAAGGAATGAACCGCGGCTCGGCTATGAACGTTCGGAAGGCCAAGGAAATCGCCAACGCCCCCAAGATAGTCTTCGCATCCTCCTTGGTAATACTCACCCATTCCGGTAAAAGGCCCTTCTTTTTCTCCTTCTCATCCCCCTCCTCTCCTCCATTCCCACCTCCTCCGTCGCCATTTCCACCGCCACCACTCTTCCACTCAGACAGCGGCGGAGAGTCGACCTCGCCGTCCCGCGCTTCCACTCCTCTCCCACATCCGACCTGACTCCGGCGCTGCCTCGGCCGGGAAACCCAAAAGTTGGAGCTTTTCGGCGGGGAAATGCAGCGGGCGGAACTAAAGGTGGGGTTTTTGGAGGAGCAGATGCATCTGGAGGGATTGGGGTTGGGATTCTCGGTGGGTAATTGAGAGGTGGAGCAAGAAAAGGAGGTGGAGAAGTTGGTGGCTCTGGTGACGGAGTTCTTGGACGAGGAGGAGGACGAGAGGAGGTGATTGGGTTTGATTTTAGGGCTTTGGGAGGTGGGAGAGAAGAACTGGAGAGAAGACATTATCTTCGTCTTCGTCGCCCCCTTCCCTTCCCTTCCCTCCTCGCAGATAAACCAAAGCTTCGAGCTAACAGTTACCAACAAAACGAAGAATGGGAGGGACGCGCTTTTAGGTTGAATTGTGGGCACGGCAATGTCAAATCAATTGGCGATGCATCGTTGAGATAAATTATATGGCAGCCGATTAATTTTTCTCAAAAATAATATGAAATTCACATATTAATTTAAAGGCGAATTCTTGACATCAATTATTTAAAGGCGAATTCCTATAGAAAAGCTTGGACTAATTATATATTAGTTTTAAATTAATTATCTTTAATATCACAATCTTATGCTTTTAAAAGTTACATTAAGTTCTTATACTTATCGAAGTAAAATATTTAACTGCATTACTTCAATAAGAATATCTTTCTTTCTCTTAATTTTTAATCATGTAAAATTATCTTTTTAACTCTTTATAAGAATATTAAAGTTTCACTTTAGTAAATATAAGGATCAAAATATAATTTTTGAAAGTATAAGAATCGAAATGCTAAAAATAACTAATTACAAAGATAATATATAATTAATCAAAAATTATATATATTTTAATTTTTTTAAATAATTTTATTTTTATTTTTTTTTGAAGGTTTTTCTCTTCCTCCGGTTCTATAAATTAAGAACTGGTCCAACAAATTAAAATGAACCAAATTAATAATAAAAAATAAATAATGTTAAAAGTTATGAAAATTAGGAAAAAATATTCTGGAAGGCACAAAATTCTATATCCGGGTCTTTATTTACTGAATAATATTGAAATGTATAGATATTAAAACTAAATTTGAATACTTTTAAAAGTTATAAAATTATTCTGGAATGTTTAAAAATATAAATAACTGAAATATTTTGATATGTATGGTAAATTATTTTAAATATATTATATTATAATTTTAATTCTATTTCATAAGCTTATTTTCCAAAAAAATAAAATTATTTTACTGAAAAGCATGGAGCCGTTTGATGAACTAAATCTGTGGGTAAAACCAAGAAAAGATAAAAAGACAGAAAAAGAACCAAAATAGGGGTGCTTTTTAGGACAAAGAGTTTTTTTTTGTTTTTTTTTCGATTCACTCATTATTTTGTATAAGTAATGATTTTTATATTATCTTATAAATATAACCTAATGCACATGTCAATGGTGCTCGGGTTGATTAATTGTACGGAGATGAAGAAATAAAAGGTATTATCAGTTTTTGTGTGAGCAAACGATAATGTTATATTTATTAACCAGATTTAGGGATGAAAATGTATTTGTAAACTCTGATAAAAAAAAGGGATAAATTTTTGGGCCATTTTCCTTTAAAAATATCTTTATTTTGGGTGTTTCCCAAATAGTTTTTCCCATTTTGGTTTTTTCTAAACCATAATCCCTAATTTAAAAACTGTTCAAATTGTCCTTCTTCATTCTCTTTCATCGTTGTCGAGTTGTCTATCTCATCAAACCAGTTGTCACCTATTCTTCCATACATCATTATCCTATGTCGCCTCCACCATCACCCATGTGCCTTATATCACCTCCCCTCCCCTCTACCTTATTAGAATCATTGCTCATAGTCCTCACGAGAGGAAGGAGGGCGTGGGAGAACTATTGTCGCCCTCTGCCCCACCAAAATCATCACCCGCAACCCTTATAAGAGGAAGGAGGTGTGAGAGCCATTATTGCCACCTCCTTCTTGCACGAGAGCTATGGGGGTGGTAGCTTTGATGAGATAGATGGTGACAGTAAATCAGAGTACTAGCAGGAGCCTTCATGCCTCCTCATTTCTCATGCGAGAGCTACGTATGGTAGCTTTGGTAGGATAAAAGATAATAGCCATTCCATGAGAGCTGCGGGTGGCAACTCCGACAAGACAGAGGAGATGGGAGGTAATGTAAAACATAGGACGATAGCGGAGGAGGAGGTGAGAATAGGTCGAACCGAGCAGTTGATGACAACAAAGGCGACGATGGAAGAATGATAAAAGAGGAGAGATAATTTGGATATTTTTAAATTATAGGATATGATTTAGAAAAATTAAAATAAATATAATTATTTAGAAAATATCTAAAATAAGGATATTTTTTAAGGAGAATCACCCTTAAAAAAAAATTTGTGTGGAAGAAGGCACATGAACAATTTGAGTGAACTTGGCAAGGAACAAAGGTGCCACTTGACAATCAAAAGAAAGTGTCAACAATAGTGATTTGGTATATTCTTTCTTTTGGCCACTAAGTTTAGGATATCTTTCAATTTGTGTGTGAAGTTAGGCAAATCTGCCATAAGGGATCTATTTGATTGAAAGGAAAGATGAAAAGATTCCAAGATTTTTTTTTTTTGGTGGCATTTAGAATGTAAAAGAAAGAAATAAAAATGAATGCTCATTTATTTCATGTTCTTGGAAGGCAGGAAATTTGAATTTTAGTCATCCCTTGAAATGTTTCACAAAAATTACAGAAAAGAAAAGGAGCAGCAAAATATATCATTCACTAGAGATTTAAAAGAAGTCCAAAGAAAATTATTTTTTTAGTCTACTAATAAATAAACAGGTATGTCATTCAAGACTATAAAGGTGTTTTTATGATCTGCACAATCTCTTTTTCACTAAGATATTAGACTTACATACACACCTTCTTCCTGTTCACCGTTCATGGTAGAAATAACGCCCTAATAAAAGATTAATTTTAATATGTGAAATATTATCAACCCACCTCTATAGGATAACTAGCTGTCTTATTGACCTTAAACTACTATCCTAAAATAATTAAATCAAAATGAATGATATTCACTCTTTTAATCCTTATAAATTAATTTAAATTTTGTTTTTCTTCGAACATTATCAATAGTCAAATCATGATGTGTCTTTAATCTCATTAACATTATCAAAAAGGACAAGGAATTATTAGATTAAGTGATAGATAAAAATGCACACAAATGCAAAGCCTCCACCATCTCACAATATGGTGAGATCTAAACACAACCTAGAGATTGATTGCTAACATAACATTCAGACAATAGGAATCAGTGGAGGCAAAACAAAGCAGGTCAACACTGAATATGATCACTGCCTTTAGCATTACAAGTGAAAGAATGAAGCAATATTTTGTATGTCGCCATGTGGGAAGACATTTATTTATTACCACCATAAGTCACAGTTGGCAATTCATTAATTGATGTATGTGTTCCAAACTTTTGAAGCCTCATTTTTCTAGTAACTTCAAACTTTCAAGATTCAAACTTAGTGGAAAGTGAGCCTCTCTAAGCTGAAATATGGTTGGATAGTGGTAATTTTTTTTTGTTCCAAAACTTGGGTATGCTTTGGCATTTCCTTGTCATTGTCCATATGTCTTTGTTAGAACATGTGAAGCCTTGAAATATCATAACATACAAAACTATTTCAGAACTCATTAGCATGAATTTTAATCTTGAAATATTTCATAATTGAACCTCTAAATGCTTGTTATTTCACAAATTGTTACCACGAAGACAAGTTGCATTGGTTAGTTTACACTAGTGTTTATTTGAAGCTAATAAGGAAAAGTTTATTCTCACAAGCACTTGGTCTCTAAATCAACATCTAAAATTAAACTTTATTTAAGTTGTTTGTGTAGGGAAATCTTGAGAGTGACATCACATGCGCAGCCGAAGAATAGAAAATAAAATCTCCAATTCCCAAAGATATGTTTGTTATTGTGTGAAGATTGATGCGCAAAAATCTATGAAATAAAAAATACACGTGTGAGATAGATTGTATTACATAAGGAGATCGTATATCCATGAATCCCTATAGATCTCTAGGAGAGGGTAAAGGAGGTCAAGCGCTCTCCTCTCTAGCGGTGATCCACACAGTAGGACTGCGATGACGCTCCTCAAATCTTCAGGCCTGCTCTGAGGTAGAGAGGAGGAGGAGAATAGGAGAGGAAGCAAAAAGTTCTAGCCTATAAACTATTGAAACTCTCATATTTATAGAGGTCCCTTGTCAACTTAACCCTAATGGATCCTCCCCTATTGGGTATCGAATCTTCATCTAACTACCCTCTTAGATTAGTGGATCTCTATCCAATAATTCAGGGGCTTATTGGATATCCAATAAGATAGGGGCTTTGGCGGATATCTCATATCCGAACCTCTACTTATCTTAATGCCTACTATATGTGTGTGACCTTCTAGGCCCAATATCAATCTGGCTTTGAGTCATACCTGTCAGAACTCCTTCTGACTCAATGAATTATTATCTCCATAATAATTCACTCGACTCATCGATTGCGGACGTACTAGGCCACTACGTCGCAATCCCCAAACGATACAGGGGAATCCAATCCATTAGGTCTGTTTGTCCTTAATTACCATGTACCTATAGTCCCTCATCCATCTAATATTCTAGAGACAGTATACCGAGCATGGTGCTGTCAAACCCATATGGTTTATACTCGAGTCTCGCTCTAATTGGATTCTCCCAGAGAACTCTTTCTCTCTTATTCTGAATGACCCTAGCCAGAGATTTGTTTGAGCAAGAACATATGAGATATTCCTCTCATGACACTGAGAGTGGATGATCCTCTATCGACACTCAATAGCCCTCGTAAGGTTGACTACCACTCCCGATGACCGGTTGTGTTAGATCTAGGACATCCAAATATATAAATCTGGTATCAAAGAGTGGAGCACTCATACAGGACATTCTTGGTGTCTCAAGTTTAAGGACCAGATACACCGCTGGCACTACGAAATCGCTGTTTGACAATAAGGCATCATCAACCATTCAACATTCTGTAAGCGGATCAATCAGTGAACTCATTCCCGAGTGAGCACCTGTATTGTATCCCTAGTGTCCCTGCACAGGCAGCTATGAGACCACTTGCATCCATCATATGGACGGGTATACAACACACTAGTCTATTCGGTTATCTCAATGTCCCTCTCGAGTAATCTATAACTGGGATTATTTAGGATCTGTGTTTAAAGGTGAATCGATCTCATTATTGTGATCTCATCACGATCCGATTCCCATTGCACAGATCCAATGACATCACAATATATATATATACATATATATATATA